CCAAGACAAGGTGTGTGTCCCAGATGACAGTGAGTTAAAAAAGAATATCATGACGGAGTCCCATAGCTCGAAGTTTGCCATGCATCCAGGAAGCACCAAAATGTACCAGAGCATGCGACCCCGGTTTTGGTGGCATGGGATGAAGAGAGACATAGCCGACTTTGTATCTAAATGTTTGGTATGTCAGCAGGTCAAGGCAGAGCATCAGCGCCCAGGTGGGTTACTTTAGCCTTTACCGATCCCGGAATGGAAGTGGGAACATATCACCATGGACTTCGTATCGGGGCTACCCAAGGCGCGTTCAAGACACGATGCCATATGGGTAATCGTTGACCGACTTACCAAGTCTTCCCACTTCCTAGCCATCAGGATGACTGATTCATTGGACAAGTTGGCAAGGATGTATATCCGAGAGATAGTCAGATTGCATGGGGTTCCAGTAACAGTAGTGTCCGACAGGGATCCCAGGTTCACCTCTCGGTTTTGGAGTAGCTTCCAGCAAGCAATGGGAACAAAGCTGTCTCTTAGTACTGCCTTCCATCCCCAGACTGATGGACAATCAGAGAGGACAATTCGTACGCTTGAGGATATGCTCCGAGCTTGTGTCCTTGACTCCGGGGCCATTGGGACGACCATCTACCCCTAATAGAGTTTGCCTACAATAACAGCTACTAAGCAAGTATCGACATGGCTCCATATGAGGAGCTATATGGGCACCCGTGCAGGTTACCGATTTGTTGGGAGGAAGTGGGCGATAGAAGATTATTCGGCCCGGAGTTGGTAGAGGAGACCACATCCAAGATAGTTAAAATTAAGAAGAACATTCAGACAGCTCAGAGTAGGCAGAAGAGTTATACAGATATCCGGAGGAGAGACCTAGCGTTTGAGAAAGGGGACTGTGTGTTTCTTAAGATCACTCATTTCAAGGGAATTAGTAGGTTCGGCAGGAGGGGAAAATTAAACCCCCGATATATTGGACCCTTTGAAATCTTAGACAGGATTGGTATCGCTGCCTACAGACTATCACTGCCTCCCGAGCTCTCCAGAGTCCACAAGGTGTTTCACGTATCTATGCTACGTAAGTACAACCCGGACCCTTCTCATGTCTTGGCTCATGAACCGCTTCCACTCCAAGAGGACTTGTCTTATGAAGAAGTACCGGTCGGTATCACGGACCGAAAGAGCAGAATACTCCGCAACCGGGAAATATTATTTGTAAAGGTCGTGTGGCAGAACCACACGCCCAGGGAGGCTACTTGAGAGCTAGAATCAGAATTTAGAGCCCAGTATCCCCATTTGTTCGACCAAGAGTAAGAGGCAAATTTGGGGTACCAAATTTCTTTAAGGGGGGAGAGTTGTAACACCCATTAATTATTATTATTATTATTATTATTATTATTAATTTTTAATTTATTTTATTTAGTTTATTTTGTAATTATTGAAATTTTAATTGATTTATTTAATTTAATTTAATTTAATAAAAATAATAATAATGATAAAATTGGGTAAAAATATTATTTGGATTTAATTGAAATTGATTTTGAAAAAAAGGGGTGAAAATTTGGATTATGAGGGTGTTTTTGAAAAGAAAATCGGAAACCGGGAGTCAAAACGTAATTTAAAAAAGTTGCACCACGTCAGCACCACGTCACCAGCCACGTCAGCGGCCCGGTCAGCAGCCCCGGCCAACCAAGACACGCCGCGTGGCAAGAACACGCTGACCAGGGGACGGGCCACGGGGGCGATCCGCGTGCGCGCGATCAGACGGCTCAGATCCGTTCCCGCGCGCACGGACGGTCCAGATTCACGCGCACGGATGGCTCAGATTCAATCAGGCACGGACAGCCCAGATTGCATCGCGATGAATGACCCAGATTTAATCCCAATTAAATCGCGATCGAACGATCCAGATTCAATCTTGATGGACGGTCAAGATTAAAAGGCGAAGGGTATAAATACCCCCACCCACACCTGAGCAAAGAAACCCTAGCCGCCAGTGCTCGCCGGAGAAGAAAAACCAGTCGTCGGAGGAGCCGGCCGCCGCCGCACCGGGGAAATTTCTGACCGCCGATCGAGGTAATTTTTCTCCCCCTTGCTCGTTTTTCGACGTTGAGTCCGCCTATGGCCAAACCAGAGCCAAACCACCGGCCAAACAGCCGAAAAACTCAGTCGAAACCCATCGGCGCTGCCGCGCCCCTCCCTGATTTTTGCCTCTAATGAGGCCCTTCCCGGCCTCCGTTTAATGCAAATTTTATACCACCGTGATCACCGTTCTTTTCTCTACAGGTTGATCGGAGCCAAACATCAAACGCGCCTCACGCCGGAGGAGCCGCGGCACCTGAGAGTACCGCCGCCGGTAAGTTTCGGTTTTTTGCAATTTTTCGGCCCACCGAGGGTCCTAGGGTTGTTTTATCACAGGGATCGATGCAAGTGTGGCCGAATTCGGCCGAAAACTGCCAACCCGAGGAGAATCACCGCCGCAAGCGGCGGCGCCGTCACCGGAGCACGGCGGAGCCGCCGTGCCGGAATTGCGATATTGGCCGAAAGGGGCCCTAGGTCTAATTTGGAATTTTTTGGGACACGTGCAGGTACTAGTAGTGCGTTTCAGTTCCCCGGAAAAAATTCAGGAAAAATTAGGAATAGCCTGTAGGCGCACTGTAGAGCCGTATTCAGACCTCGAAACAAGTAAGGACCCCTCACCCTATTTCCTATCACGGTATTAAAGCTAAATAAATAATTAAACTGTACTGTGTGACTTTATACATGTATAATTGATTTAAGTTGTCAATGGAGTCCGAGTCTGATACTGTGTTGGTCTGTTATTATTTGATTTAATTTCCAGTATTAAATGCAGTATGATGTTTGATGTAATTATATTATGGTCCCATATGCATGAATCATGGTTTTCTTATTATGGTCGGTATTATGCTTAACCCGATACTGTGTTGTCTTATTTGGTGTCCATTACTGATTTACATGTTGTGTGTGTTTGCTTGATTGAAATCAAGAAAAAGGTCAAAAAGGTTATGTGAATTGATAGTGAATAATGTGGACAGCCTGACTAGATATCCTGAGAGATGGTGGACGGATCGGGTCCGTAGGGAACCCTACCGGGAACGTGGTCTCTCATACCGGACGGAGTATGGAGACCTTATGTGTTTTGGCGCCCATACCGGACGGGGTAGGGGGACGACTCGTTTTACCCTCATACCGAACGGGGTATTGAGGTTCATGGTTTTGGTGCTCATACCGGACGGGGTATGGGGACGGCTCTGGAATCAGGATATAAATGTTAAGGGTCCACGGGTAGCGGGACCCCTATGGATCCCCATGGATACTAGTAGGCTGGTAAATGAGGAAAATGTGTTGTTTAATGATTGAAACGCAAAGGCGTGGTAAGTATTTTGTTATACAGTTCATATGATTTCATGAAGATGATAATGTTATATCTTTCGTATGTTGCTTTATGGATCTCACCGAGGTAAGTGGACAATAAAAGTTTTTATGTTAATAAAAGAGTTTATTATAAATTATGCTCCATTGGTCTTTTTGTGTTTTCTACCCACCTTTACCTCCGTGGCGGTGAGATAGTGTGATATCTTTACTGGGCTGGTGTAGCTCATTCCTTATTTAACCATTTTAGATCAAGAAGACATTGTTCCCGAGCCCGTTCCGCAAGAAGACGGTGAAGGGGATGCCTAAAGACTCCGTAGTTATATTTATAGTTTTTATTTTCGAATTTCTCTTTAAGTTAGTTTGTTCTTTTATACTTTGAACACGTTTTTGGTTTTAGTGTAAGGGATGTTAATCAAAATTTTTATTACGATTCCGCATTTGACATTTTTAATACACATATTTCATTCTAAATTTCCGGGGCTGTTACACAAGAGGCATGATTAGGAGTGGCCACTACTAAATATGTTTGTATTTGGCACAATCAACGCTTTTCTGAATTTTATTAAATTTGAGCTTGAAAAAAAAAATTATTTAGTAAAACGAGTAAAATTTGAGTTACCAAGTATTTAGTTTTAGAATTTGGGAATAAGTTAAATATTATACTATATTATATATTTAATCAAAATGTAAAATATATTTTATAGATGATTTATTTTGATATATTTATAAAAATTTAAATAAATCTAGATTAAAAAAAATGTTAAACGAAATTATTGTCTTTATTAAACTCAATTCTATCAAATCTGAATTTATTTGAGTTTGAGCTCTAGCCCATAAATGAGTCAAATTTTAATTTAAAAATAATTCGTAGAAAGATTTAAATTCAAACTTGATACAATTATAAATAAAAAAACAAATCAAACTCAAGTATTTATGTATTAGCTTCACTTGTTATCATTCCTCATATATGATAGTATATTACAAAAAAAAAATTTATTTATCTTCAAAATGCATATATATATATATATATATATATATCACAACAGATAATCTTATTTAATGGAGTTTCATCTAGTAAAAAATAATTTAATATATATAATTTTTTACAATTATTTATTTCCTTGATATTTTACCATTACACAACAAATTGAGTACATCAATTTAATAATCAATATAAATCCCAAATAATTTTACGGTTATAGTGTCACTTTAAATTTATTATCTCTTAACTTACAGAAAAATCAATTCTCAATTTTTTTTTTTTAGATTCTTTAAGATCTTAAAAACTACCCCAATAATTTTATATTGATATTTAGATTTTAAAATTTGCCATATTAATTTGGTTATCTTATTATAAGTTTATATGAAAAAAAATTCACCCATAATGTAATTATAAAGAGCTTATAATATTGTAAGCGAATAAACAAATAAATCATATAAAAAATTATACAAGTCAATTAAATACATTCAACCGGTTTGAGCCCCTTCGGCATTTCATAGATTAATTATTATTTGTACAGCAAACTCGGCATTAGAGAGGTTCCATGGTCTAGTGGTAAGGACATTGGACTCTGAATCCAATAGCCCGAGTTCAAATCTCGGTGGAACCTTTCTGCCCTCTTGATTTTCTTTTTCCTCTCCGCTTCTTCCGCTGCCGCTGGATTCGGAATTCACTTCTTTCAGCGCAGTATGGAAGAAAATTTAATGGTAGGGCACGGTGATCTGCGGGAGATGTTTTGAACCCCAAAAACTCTTTTTCTATAACCCATGTTCCACCTTTCTTCCCCGTGATTGTTAAAATACCTCTGCTTCATTTCATTTTAATTTGCTTATGAAAATGGAACCTGAAATCCAACGGAAGGTCGAGGAAGCCGTGAAAGACATGCTTAAAAGAGCCGACATGGAGAACATGAATCAATTCAAGCTCAGACTTGCTGTATCAGAGCGACTCGGTCTTGATCTCTCCGGAATCGAGCATAAGAGGTTTATCAAAGACGTTATAGACTCTTTTCTACTCTCTACCGCTGACGAGACGTCTCGGAATGGTGCGGAAACGGAGACTAAGATTGGAGACGGCATTATCGACTCTTCTCTACTCCCAAGTGACGAGACGGCTCGTAATGGTGCAGAAACCGAGACGAAGATTGGAGATGGCGTTATCAACTCTTCCTTACTCCCAACTGCTGACGACACGGGTTGTGAAGGTGTGGAAACCGAGACGAAGCTAGGAGAGGAGATCGCGGAGAGAGACACAGTGGTGCAAGGAGATGAAACAGAGCAGAAGGCGGAGGTTAAGAAGATTATCGTCAGGGATCGCGTTCTTTGCGAGGTGAAATGCTCTTGGCTCCGTTCGGTTACCTGGAAAAAGCAAGATTCTGCTAAGAATTTTTGTTCTTTTAATTGCAGTGCATTTAGTATGTGAAAGGAATTTCGCTCCTTGTATGTGAGGAGTGTGCAAAGATTGATATCGTTGCAAAGCCTTTTTAAAAAGAAAAAAAAAATTGCATTATCATTGTCATTGATATTAGTTGTTTCGATTTTAGCTATCAAACAAGAAAAGTGTGGTGCTTAAAGCTTTCAAAGGGAATCCCTACTTATCAATTGGAGAACATCATCTTAGGGAGGGAAAGCAGATTACTACTGGTAAAGGTGATAATACATTCTCTCCCCCTTTACTTCTTCTGGTTTATAATTTCATCATTTATTAGCTAATATGCTCTTGAGCTTGTAGGTGTAATTTTGTGTCGCTAATTTTGACATTATGGTATTTAAGACTGTTTTTGTGCATAACAATTGAACAAGGAGTAGTTTCTTCCCTGTCTTTATATAAACAAATCTTTGCATACATTTCAGATTTGCTCTTTTCTTCTCTCGGCGTTTGGTCAACAAGGTTTAATTTAAACAGCTACCTGTCTTTGATGTCTAGTTTTCATATACTGGTGCTGAGAGGAAAATAATAACTGCCCCTGTGGTGTCTGTCTCTTACAACTTGACATGCTACATTGCATGCAAAACCCAAGCTCACGGTACCATGTTTACGTGGTTATCTTCTTTTACTTGAAGGCCGTCTTTCCACTTCTATGTAATTATTGGTTATATTGTATTTAACCAGTTTCATTATCATCGAGAAAGTGCTGTAAGCAACACTTGATGAGTCCGTAAAATTTGTCCATTGACGTGTTCTTTTTCCCTAAAGTGCCCATGTTCCCTTTACACTGCAATCTTCATCCTGAAAGGTTTTCCCACTATCATTTTCAGGAATTAATTTGTCAGCTGAGCAATGGTCGATCATCAAAAAGAATATCCCTGCAATTCAAGAAGCCATTAAGAAGATGAATTCAAATTTAATGTAAGAATATTCTTTTGATATTAAGTTAGTACTGGTGTTGGTATTTCTTAAAATAGTCTAGTCATAAAAATTTTGTTACACCAAAAGAGCAAAACTGCATTGTTGCATGAATTTAACAATTTTGATCCATATTCCTATCTTTGGATGCAAATGATCACTCAAATAAACAATAGATGGTGCATTTCCTTCTATTTTTTGTTGTAAAAAGGTAAGTAGCGAAACAATTAACTTACTTGACTATTTAATCAACATACAGGAGATCTGAGCCTGATGGTGAACAAAATACTACCGTGTCTAATTCAGCAATTGATTTTACTGACGAATTTGTTCCTATTGAGACTACCCGTTTTGATGGAAATAATTATCATTTATGGGCAGCAAAGATGGAATTCTTCTTAAAGCAATTAAAACTCTTGTACGTGCTCACTGGGCAATGCCCAAGTAGTGCCTGTGGTCTAGAAGCAAGTACTGAAGAACTTGATCAAGCAAAAGCAGCCAGACAAAAGTGGGTTAGGGATGACTATCTTTGTCGCCAGAATATATTGAACTCTCTATGTGATCGTCTTTATCATGAATACTCGAAGAAAAGTAAGAATGCTAAGGAACTGTGGGACGAACTAAAATTAATTTACGAGTATGACCCACATGGAACAAGGAGGCATCAAGTCAGTAATTATATTAATTTTCAGATGGTTGAAGAGAAATCAGTTCTTGAACAAGTTCAAGAACTCAATAAGATTGCTGACAACATTGTTGCTGCTGGAATGTTTCTTGATGAGAATTTTCATGTTAGTGCCGTCATTGCTAAGTTTCCTCAATCTTGGAAACACTTCAGCATCAAGTTGATGCATGAGGAACATCTACCAATCCTTATGTTGATGGATCGTGTGAAGGCTGAGGAAGAGTCTGGCAATAGAACCAGGCAACTAGATACATTCAAGTTTGTAAATTTTCAACCATCCAAGGGCCACGGGCCAAGGATGGAAGATATAAAGTTAGGGCTAACCTGTAATAAGAGAGAAGCAGAGACAGCTGGCAGAGTCATGATCTGTCATACTTGCAGCAAAATGGGGCATATTTCCAGATACTGTCATAGTAAGAAGTCTGATAGACATGCCAACGGGAAGCCGTTTGATGGGGAGGCTAATGAGAAGCCCTTTGATAAGGAAGCTAAGGAGAAGTCTGATAGAGAAGCTAACAGGAAGCAGTTTAATGAGGAGGCTAATGAGAAGCCCTTTGATAAGGAAGATAATGAAAATCTGGTCAGGGACAATTCAAATATATATATGGTTGCTGACATCGACATGGCTGACAGCAATAAAGTGTAGTCGATAAAGAAAAAAGGTAGAAATATATCTTAAAACCTCTCTTCAACTTGAGGTGGTTGATATTTCTCTGAGGAAGAGTTCCTGTTTTGATCTTGGGGAGTTCTTCATTTTCTCTACGGGGGAGCTCTAGATTCATAAGCTGTATTGTACAAATTTCCCCCATGTTTATTCTGATCTATTTCCAACACAAACAAACAGAGGACTAATCAAGAAGCTGGGATATATAAATCGGACATAGAGCAGGCTTTTATTTTCGGTCACTTAGGCATGGGGGGAATATCGGGGAGACTTATAGAAATCCTAACCCATAGAAAACAACTGTGACTTTCTCATAACCCATAGAAAGTATCTGAAGTATATTCGTTAATATGACCACAAACAATATTTAAAAAAGATTTGAAATGATTTCCCAATATTGTAATAATTTGGCTGATTTAGCCCTAAGAGACTTCATGGTGCAGCACTGTCTTTGTTCATTACAAGCCTCTCTTATAGTTTGGTTCAGGTACTAATTCTTGATTCTTTTAGCTTCAGTGATGCCCATGACTGGCTTGAACTCAGCCCCTCCATTTAAAAGCTGTGCAACTAAAGTAGGCTAAATTCCCAGGTCTGGTTCTTGATGTTTTTAGTTTCATATCATGATGAACAATCTGCTAGTCTTTCTATGAGTATATTGAAGTACTTTATTTAGTTAGTGGGTTTTAACTAGGATGGACATTTTTATTTTTAAACTACCCTTTTGACATCTGATTTGTCGAAATGCCATATGACTTTCTTTTTCTGAAAGAAAAATATAAAATGACACATGAGCTTATGCATGTCAATTCTATTTATCACTCATCTTTGCTTTTGCATTATTGTTTTATTTTGAACTGGTTGATCATTATGTTGTCATATATTGGTCCAGAGCCTGGTTCACAACACATGGATGAGCAAGGGCTTGAATTTCTTCAGTTTGCTTTTCGCTGGTTTAATTGTCTTTTGATTTGCAAGGTTTGGATCTATACTGGAAGTCCCTGTACAATGTTTTGCCATCCACAATTTTCAGTTTTAAGGTTAGGGACTGATGATATATTTTGCTTTACCAGATTCCTTTCCATCTGGTTACACGCCTATGGGATACTTATCTTGCGGAAGGAGATGCATTGCCAGATTTCTTTGTGTACATATTTGCTAGTTTTCTTCTAATGGGGAGACACATCCTCATTTCCTTGGCACTTCAGTATGAAGTATTAAGTTGTTCTCTGGGTTGATCTTCTTTCATGCTTAAAAATATAGATGAAGTTTGAACTGAAATGAACCATGTTTGATGCCTTAAAATCCTGTGCTTATTCGTACTCTATATTTCTCATAAAATTGAGTGCCTACTTCTGATAAAATTTTGTAAGAGTTGTCAATTTATGCTCCTTAAAATCTTATGCTTATTCCTAGTCTGTATTTCTTTCCGTAACAAATATTTCTAAGTAGATAGTTTAAGAAAAGGATTTTCTTTTCTTTCTCTAGTTGTCTTTATAAATAACTAGGTACTAGATAAGCAGAATCTTTGTTTAAAATAAAAATAAACATGAAAGATCCACCCAAAAGAGAATACAAAAAACATTAACGTGAAACAGTTCCTCTTTTCATTTTTTTCTTTTCAGTGGTCGGATAAAATTCAGAAGCTTGATTTCCAAGAAATGGTGATGTTCCTGCAACATCTTCCAACTCAAAACTGGACCCACCAGGAACCCGAAATGGTGCTCTCGAGAGCATATATGTGTCACAGTATGTTTAACAACTCTCCCAGCTACTTAGCCAGCTGAGAGGAGTAAAGTGACATATTCCTAATCAAGTGCCTGAAATACTATACTGTTTTTCTTGAGTATTGTGGAGTAATCATTTTTATTTACTTTGAATACCTCAACATCTATGGGTGTATATTTTTGTACCTCTTTCATAAAACCCCATGACATGGTCATAAGATTAATCCTCGCACTACGGCCTCTCTTCTTAACAAAGATTAAGCCATACGTATGGAAGCACGTGAATGAAACAATACGAAACGGGAAAAATGCAATTCCATACACCGAAACATGTTTCGGAAATAGTGTAGGAATTAATCTGTTACAAAATTTCCATAAGCAAAGCAAAAGGCAGAGTAGCAGATTAAAGCTTTAAGATTCCCTTAAAAAGAAAGAGAAAATCCTTTTCCTACTTGTCAAGAATACAAGTAGCAAAATAAAAGCATCCTAGAAGGTGTAAGTCAATTCAAAAGAAGAAACTCGTCATTTATGAATATATTTGATTCATTGTTTATTCAATCCCTAATCAGAATATAATGCATTGTGTTTGGTCATCACTGTTCTAGTTCGCGGAGAGATGGTAACTCAATCACAAGAAAAATTGCAAATATAAAGATGGGGTGAGGGAACTGAACTAAGCTTAACCATGAACAAACCTGAAGAACTGAACTAAGCTTAACCGTGAACAACCCTGAACACATCAAAAAAGAAAATATGCAGATTCAAGACTCCGAAAAATATTGCCTTGGCAACTCAGCCAAAGTGTCCAACAAGTCAGCTTTCAGAAGTCTCGAGAGTCTGGTCTGGAAAACTTGCTCCAGTTTAGAATCTGACGTGACCAGTTTGAGAGCATAGATTCCCTGGATATCACCCTTGACCTCAACAAAGGCTTTTCGGGGTCCTTCTCGTCTTAGCCCACAAGTGATGACAGAAACCCACCCTTGTTGCTGGTGGGTTTTCTCAGTCATCGTCATCATCATCATCCATCTTTTGAGGCAAATGGGGTTTTACAAAAAGAAATAGAAGAACCATTTTTTTTTCTCGGAAAACAAACAAGACCCAGAAGGAAAAATCACGTGATAACCCTCTCGCACGCACGTGCAATGACATTTATAATTTCTCCCCTTCTCTGTTTCGACCAAAAACAGAAAGTCCTCGATACCAAGCAGCAGAAAAAGGAGAGAAGATGGGCGTATCAGCCTCAAAGCGAGTGAAGAACTCACTAGCCAACTCTCGCTCGTTTGATTCGGCTTGCGACTCCGCCTACGCTCATTGCCTGTCCCTAACCCAGCACGCTTTCGAAGGAGTCCTCCCTTACCAGCTCCTCGCTGCCTCCGCCCACCTCCACCACACCCTCTTCACCCTCCGTCTACCTCTCGTCATCAAGTGGGTACCGTTTCCCCCAACTCGCGCTCAGGTTGACTCAGCTCTGCGAGCTGTAACACGTAAGAGGCACGAAAACGACGGCAAAAGCAGCGTTTCGTGTCCGGAGGATGAGGGCGCACTGGTTCTTGGACCGGCCTTGTTCAAGGAATGGGCCTTGGTGGTGTTTGCGGAGGCCATCGTGGGCAATGCTACGAAGGCGGTACTCACCCGGGTCCCCATCGGAATCGCTGGAATCGCAGGCATCGGAGCAATCGCTCGGCCAGGGAAGGATCTAATCGGAGCGGCGATTGGAATTTACGCGCTCGGTGTTGCGACTTCGATTTATGTTAGCTTGTCTGGATAGGCATATATAATTTTAATTGGATAGGAGGAGAGAAACCGTCTGTTGTATGCCGGTACGTGCATAAACATAATACGTGCGTATATAACGTCTGTGCCTTTTGGTCTGATAGAGCCGCGGGTAGGTGACCTGGTGTTTCATCTATTGGTTGCCACGTGGCACGCAGTAATTACTAAATAAAAATAAAAATTTTACTTTAGTCGTTAATTTATTATTTTCGCTAACACCCACGTTGTAATTTGAAATCTTCTAAATTCTGCTCCAGTTCTCAAATTTCAATTTGTCTGGAGAAAAAGAATGCAACTTCACTTTTCCTTTGTTTCTAAACTTTTCAATCATCTTTTTGGTTGCAATGGAGACGAATTCATTTTTTTTAACTTCTCAAAAATGTTTGGTCGCCAAGAAAAAGAATTCACGTTAAGTTTTTATGTTAATCTTTTATGATTTTCGATCATCTGTGAGGGAAACTAATTCATTATTATTTTCTTTGTTTCCTTATCTTTTTTGGTAACAAAAAATTTTAATTGCTTCTAAAAAAACAATTTTTTTTTTTTTCCCTTGAATTTGCAGTCATCCCTGCACTGATTTCCAGACTTTTTTTCTTTCTTTCATCATTTAAATATGCATTTATTCATATATTTGACAAGTTATTCCTGCACTGTTTGATTCCTCATGATAAAGACTTTTATTTCTTTTGCTTTGCTATTCTTTCCTTCCTGCCATATTTCCTTCTTTGTTTCATCATTTGTACGATGTATTTTCTATGCGAATACTATATAATCTCTTTGCATTTGAGGTAGAATATGACATTTGGTAGAAAAGTTTCCATCTTTTCATTATTCTTTTCTTTATTTTTTTCTTTTAATTAAATTTGCAATGACTGATGAGATCATTTGCTCTTAATCCGAGCTTGTATTAATAGTTGGTCAATGGAAAATAGGTACATTAAAAACCCATGATCCCTTATAGCATATTGATATGATTTTTGAGATAAGTGAAGAGAAGATAAGAATATTGGCATAATTATGGCAGGGGAGATATAAGGATTCGTGTTCATTTTTGCAGTTATTTAATGATGCATTTGTTATTATTCATAGATTTATTTCTAAACTTTTCAATCCTCTTTCTGTTTGCAATCGAGACAATTTTATTTTCTTTTTATATCTCGACATGTTTGGTTACTAAGAAAAAGGATTCACGTTGAGTTTTTATATTCTTTATTTGCGTATCCAAATGATTTTCAATCATCCGCGAGGGGAAACAACGTGATTATGATTTTCTTCATTTCCTTCTCTTTTTCGTTAACAAAAAATTCAATTGCTTCTAATAAAACAGTTTTTTTTTTCCCTTTAAATTTGCAGTCATCCCTGCACTGATTTCCAAAGAAGAAGATTTTTCTTTTTCTCATTCTTAACTTTTTCTTTCTGTCTGTGTTTATTTCTTAATTTAAATTTACAGTCATACTTGCATTAAGTAGCTTTAAATCCGAGCTTGCATACAAAACCTTCTTTCTTTCTTTCCTTCTTTCTTTTCTTTCATTTCTTCATTTTTTTCTCTCTTTCTATGTTTGTTTCTTAATTTAAATTTGCAATCTTACATGCATTAAGTAACTTAAAATCCAAGCTTGTATAGGAAACTTTCTTTCTTTTATTTTTCTCTTTCTTTCCTCATTTATTTTATTTTTCATTTAAATTTACAGTAAAACGTGTGTTTAGTAGTTCTGAATTTGAGCTTGCATGGAAAGTCCATCAATGAGAAATAGGTACCTTGTCAAGTTTCATGATCATATATTAGTGTCTTGAAGTGGTCTTTTAGATGGGCTAAGAGATGCAGATGATGTTGGCATAGTTATTGCCAAGAAGAAGTTAAGCATTCTTTTCGCTTTTAATAGTTAATGAATGAAGCATTTGTGATCATTACACCATGTGATCTATGCATTCGTCTTAGTTCATGCAACATTAATTAATAACAAATGATGTGTCAAAGGTAGAATTTGAACTTTGAAAGAAAAGTTTTCTTTTCCTTTTTTTTTTCATTTCTTTGTTTTTCTTTCTTCCTTTTTTTTTTCTCTCATTTAAATTTGCAGTGAAATGTCAAGTTCCTCTCAATCCAAGCTTGCATTAAAATGTTCAACAATGAAAAAGTGATATTTTATCAAGTTTTATGATCATTTATATCAAACGAACGTGATCAATTATGTAATTTAGGAGAAGGGGAGAATGTTAGCATAATAGTTGCTCAAAAGAGGATTTTTTTTCATATTTGTTGAATAATGCAATTACCATTTATATGCTGTATAATCTTATGTATTACTCATAGGTTATGTGATATACTTATAGCCAGTGATACTGTAACGACTCCAGAAATAAAAATTCTGATTAACATCCCTTACACAATAACCAAAAACGTATTTAACGTATGAAAGAATAAACTAATTAAGGTAAATACTAGTAATGAATGCTATAAATAAAACTATGAAATCCTTAAACGTCTACTCGCTGTCTTCCTGCGGGACAGGATCGAGAACCAAATCCTCCTGATATGAAATGGTTAAATAAGGAATGAGCTACACTAACCCAGTAAAGACATCACACTATCTCACTGTCACAGAAGTAAAGGTTGGTAGAAAACAAAAACGACCAATGGAGCATAATTCATGATAAATTCATTTATCAATAATAAAATCCTTTACTGTCCATTTACATCGGTGAGCTTCATGAAAATAACATAAGAAAATAATAACATTATAATATCATGAAATCATACACACTTTATAACATAACACATATCATACATTTACATTTCAATCATCATACAACAGATTTTCCTCTTTTATCAGCCTACTAGTATCCATGGAGATCCATAGGGGTCCCCGCTATACGTGAACTATTCACATTGATAACTTGATTCAGGGCTGTCCTCATACCCCATCTGGTATGGGCGCCAAAAACCATAAACCTCAATGCCCCGTCCGGTATGAGGGTGAAACGAGCCGTCCCCATATTTCGTCCAGTATGGGCGCCAAAACACATAAGGTCTCCATACCCCGTCCGATATGAGAGACCACGTTCCCGGTAGGGTTCCCTACGGACCCGGTCCGTTTACCATCTCTCAGGATATCTAGTTAGGCTGTCGACATCATCCATTTATCAATTCACATATCTTTTTCTATTTTTCTTGATCTCAATTATCCAATCAAACATAAACACGTAAACTAGTAATGAACACCAAACAAGACAACCACGGGTTCACAATAATTCAAACCATAATAAACGAAACCGTGATTCATGCACATAAAACCATAAAATAAACACGTCAGATACCATACTGCATTTAAAACTATAAAATAGATCAAACAACAACTGACCGAAAAATACATCAGATTCGGGCTCCATTAGCAACCTTAATTAATTATACACAATTCATGAAATACTGTTTTATCATTTATTGAGCTTTAATACTGTGATAAAAAATAGGGTGAAAAATCCTTACTTGTTTCGGAGTCTGAAATCGGCTTTACACTGCGCCTACGGGCAGCCCCTAGATTCCCTAAATTTTTCTCCGGGAACTGAAACACACTTCCAGTACCTACACGTGTCCTGAAAAAACTCAAAATCAGACCCAGGGCCTACTCGCCCAATTTTAGAATTCCGGCACGGCGGCTCCGCCGTGCTCCGGCGACGGCACCGCCGCCCGCAGCGGCGATTCGCCTCGGGTTAGCCATTTTCAGCCGAATTCGGCCAAACTTGCATTGGTTCCTGCGATAAAACAACCCTAGGGCCCTCGGTGGGCCAAAACATCACGAAAAACTGAGACTTACCGGCGGCTGAGCTCTCGGGTGCGACAGCTTCTCCGGCGTGAGTCGCGATTTGATGTTTTACTCCGGTCAACCTGTAGAGAAAAGGATGGTGATCACAGTGGTGTAAAAATTGCATTGAACGAGAACCGAGAAGGGCCTCATCGGAGGCAAAAATTGAGGGAAGCTGCGGTGGCGCTGCTGGACTTCGGTGGTGTTTTCTGGCCGATTGGCCGGTGGTTTGGCTCCGATTTGGCCATAGGCAGATTCAGCATCGAAAAACGAGCTAAGGAGAGAAAATTTACCTCGTTTGGCAGTCGAAAAATCCTCCGGTGGGCGGCGGGTGGCGGCGGCCGGCTCCTCCGGTGACTGGGTCTTCTTCTCCAACGAGGGTACTGGCGACTAGGGTTTGGGGTTGGGTGTGGGTGAGGTTATTTATAATCTTCTCCTTTTAATCTCAGCCGTCCATCATGATTTAATCTGGGCCGTCCGATCGCGATTAAAATGAGAATAAATCTGGGTCGTCCATCGCGATGCGATCTGGGCCGTCCGAGCGCATAAGATCTAGGCCGTCCGCATGCGTGAGATCTGGACACTTCGATCGCGTGCACGCGGATCGCCCACGTGGCTCCGTCCCGCATCAGCGTCCTTGCCACGTGGCGTGTCATGGTTTGGTCGAGGCTGTTGACTGAGCTGCAGACGTAGCTGCTGACGTGGCACAACTTTTTTAAATTACGTTTTGACCTCCGGTTTTTTATTTTCTTTTCAAAAACACCCCCATAATCTAAATTTTCACCCCTTTTTTCCAAAATCATTTTCAATTAATTCCCAATAATAATTTTACCCAATTTTATCATTATTATTATTTTTATTTCTATTAAATTAAATTAAACATATAATTATTACAAAATAAATTAACTATTAAAAAAATAAAATAAAATCCAAAAAAAAAATTCAATATAAAAAACAAAAATAGTTTTGGGGTGTTACAACTCTCCCCCCTTAAAGAAATTTAGTCCCCCAAATTTGCCTCTGGCTCTTGATCGAACAAATGGGGATACTAAGCTCTAAAGTCTGATTCTAGCTTTCAGGTAGCCTCCCTTAGCGTGTGGTTCTGCCACACGACCTGTACAAATGATATTTTCTGGTTGCGGAGTATCCTGCTCTTTCGGTTCGTGATACCGACTGGTACTTCTTCATAAGATAAGTTCTCTTGGAGTGGAAGCAGTTCATGAGCCAAGACATGAGAGGGGTCTGGGTTGTACTTACGTAGCATGGATACATGGAACACATTGTGGACCTTGGAGAGCTCTGGAGGCAGTGCTAGTCTGTAGGTAGCAGTACCAATCATGTCTAAGATCTCAAAAGGTCCAATAAATGGGGGGTTCAGTTTTTTTTTCCTGCCGAACCTACTAATTCTCTTGAAATGAGTGACCTTAAAGAATACCCGGTTGCTTTTCTCAAACGCTAGATCTCTCCTCCGGGTG